TTTATATAAAATATTCTACTTATTAAATATCATTTCTAATGGCTAATTTCTTTAAAAGTGCTTTTTAATTAATTAACTTATTCTTTATATAACTTAACTATATTATTAGACCCTCTCATATATTAATAATTTACTAACATATATTATAAATTTGTTGGATATTTTTTCCCGAAACTATAAAAGATGATAATTTTATTTACATATATAGTTATGAAAATAAAAAACCGATAAATATTATGTAACCCTAATGTTTTATAATTATTGATCATTTTTACTTTTGAAAGTGTTGGTATATATATATATATATATATATATATATATATATATATATATATATATATATATATATATATATATATATATATATATATATATATGGTTAGGTTCATATAAGACGGCCTAATTTTGTGAGATCATAAGATGCATTTATTTATTTATTTTTTATTTTATTTTTATTTTTTTTAGTTAATTCAAGTTCCGAAAATAATATTTAAGAAAAGAATTTTTGGATTTTTTCATTTATTTTGCATTTTAAAATTATTTTTTAGAATATGTACAGTATAATATTCTATTAGAATATTTCACGTATTTTTCAAAAATAACGGGATTTTTATTTTTACTTTTTTTAGTTAACTTAATTTCCGAAAATAATATTTAAAAAAAGAATTTTTAGATTTTTCCATTTATTTTGCATTTTAAAATTATTTTTTATAATATATACAATGTAATATTCTATTAAAATATTTCACGTATTTTAGAAAAAAAATGAGATTTTTTTATTTTTTTAGTTATTTCAAGTTCCAAAAATAATATTTAAAAAAAAGATTTTCAGATTTTTCCATTTATTTTACATTTTAAAATTATTTTTAGATTTGGTCTCATGGTCTCGCAAAATTAGAATGGTCTCAAATGAACCTAAACTCATATATATATATATATATATATATATATATATATATATATATATATATATATATATATATATATATATATGGTTATATATAGGGTTAGGTTATTTTGTTTTTACTAACTATTGTGTGCCAGAATGCACAGATTTGGAGCACCGGATGGAATAGAATCAAAGGTCGTGATCTGAGAGTCTATGATATTACAATAAGGTAATATACACCATATAATCACCTAATTTTCAGCATAAGGCTATTTTGGTGAATTTACCTATATTAAATAAAGAAATATCCGGATTTTTACGGATAATTAATTCCTTTATTTTTAAAAATATGAATATTTTAAATTAATTCAAATTAAAAAAATCCAATTTTATTCTGTCAGAATGACAGAATGTCAACCATGAACTAGTAAATATATTTTTCAATTTTATTATTGCAGAATACATTTCCAAAGTAGTTATATTTGATAATTGACCTGATTTAAGAATAAGATATTATTTATATACATCCAACTTGGGTCTATGATTTTATTCTTAATATACATCCAAAATTAAATACAAATTCATACATATTCTTACAGACTAATATCCATATACATTTTAATATAGATATACAAATTCAAACAGAATATCATAAAAAATGAATAAAATTCTTAAAAAATAGCATTCTTGAATATACAATTATTGAACAAATACACTTGATCCTCTTTAATGGTCCATATAATCAGCTTGATCTTCACATATATATTTGTTGTTGAACTCGATTCCAAATATTTCTCTTGTATGATCAATATTGAATTCCTTCTCCATGTAATTCTAAAAGAATAAGATACATTACTCGTTAGTATTACCAGTTTAACAAATACACTTGTTGTTAACAAACATTCTCAAAGACATTCTAAAAGAATGCATTTATGTAAATAAATTCTAATAGAATACGTTACAGAATGCACTTAAATCATAGTATTTTCTTCTATATGCATAAACATTCTAAAGCGTGTATAAATGTATTCTGTCAGAACTACTAGCAATACATGTTTTATGTAATACTTATATTCTCATAGATTGGAAGTTGTGAATTGCACCAAAACCGATAAGTAAAAATTGAAGAAAATGCACAAACCAATGAGTAAGTGCAGAAAAAATAACAAGTTTTAGACATGATAGCTCATAAAAAATTCAATGCTTAGGTTGAAATGGAACTTAAGCATTGGAATCCAAGATTTCATTCTAACAGAATTGGAATTTGAGATTCCATTCTGGCAGAATTACCCTCGTTATATTAGATATCAAGGTGATTTTGCTACTGCTACTAATTGAAGATTATTCATTTGATGCTTGATATTCATGAGGAATATAAGAGATCAAATTGAATTTGAGGGTGTACGAGAATATATGAGATTTTTTAATCTTTTATTTCAAGATTGAAAACCGATTCATACACAAATTCAATTTGATCTTCTATTTCAAGAATAAAAAACGATGCTTTTAAGAATTTGTGAAAGTTTTGTGAGTTTATAGAGAAACCTAATCATTCTCAAGAATAATTTATGTTACAAGTTAAAAGAATGTTGATAGAAAAATGATGCTTTCAAACATGATTTATTTTTCAAGAATGAAAATCAATTCTTGAAAAAAAATCAATGAAAATCGAACCTTGGAATCTGACTTTTATACAATCGAATTGATATTCATATCAAGTATTTTTCAAACAAATTTTCAACATGTAAATTTGGATTGATTAAAAGTTCTCGACACAAAGTTTGCATCAAAAATATTAATTGATGTAACAGTAAAAAATCCAATCGTCCAACTTTGTTACAATATACAAATAGTTTGATAAAGCTCCTATGTGATTTGAGATGGTGGGAATTGGGAAAGAAATAAGAAAGAAAAAGATAATCACAAAATATACTTTTTTTGACTATGAAGAGTAATTCCAACCAAATCCAATAAAAACTTGCAATTGTGTTCGCACAGAACACAAAAAGCAAAACATTAATTGATTATTTTATCAAAACGTGAGAAATTGAATAAATATGTATCTTCAACCAAAAGTGGCGGTGGATAGAAAAAATCTTACCTTCTCATAAAGGGAAACATCCTCTTATTCATGGGTATTTCATGTGTGAAGGGTGCAGGTGACACTGGTGAGGCGTAGGATTTTCTCTATAAGGTTTGATTTTGATATCCCTTATTTAAAGTAGCAGTTGGCGGTGGTATTAGGTGGCAATAGTGGTCGGCGATTGGGAAGGGGCGGTGAAGATGGACATTGCAGCATGAGATGATGAGGGATGCAGGAGCGTTTGTTGATGATGAAGATTTTATTCTCGTACACACACAAACATAAGTGGAGTGAGGGAAAAAGATGGTCATAGATAAATATGAGAGAAATTAAGGTAAAAGTCAATATAACTAGGTTATAGGAAATATTTATGGAATTTATATATTAAATTGCTAAATCACCCTTATTTATTTATTTATTTTATTATTTCCTAAATTCTTATTGGTGCATTCATGCATACAATAGTTGTTAGAAACATTTGAACCTAACTCTCTTTCTCCTCTCTCTCTCTCTCTCTCTATATATATATATATATATATATATATATATATATATATATATATATATATATGGGAAAAGTGAATATACCCTTAAAGGTATATAAACTTAAATACCCAAATTCATTATACCACGTTGTTTTGTGTCATATAATACATTCTAATTGCTCACTATTCTTATAATTTAACTTCTAACTTGATTTACTTCCATGATTTTTATAAATTACACATTTATCTTCATCTTACATAATTATCATTTTTGACTACAATATATATAGCCTAATAGGTGGTCGGCAAAAAGATGTGATGTAAGAGGAAGATAATAGTGAAGTTTCGAAAACCTTGAAAATAAATCAAGTTAGGGTTGAAGTTTAAGAACATTATAATGAATACATCAAACAAAACGACGTATTATAATGTGTTTGGGCACAACTACATGAATAAACATCTATAGGGACGAGATCTATAGGGACGACATGTCGTCGCCATAGGGTTGATGGATTTTTTTACTTTTGAAGCTATAGCGACAACTTCTCGTCTTAGCATTTTAAGCGGGAAAGGAAATGGATTTGCCACGTTCTTGAAATACCTGTAACAAATAACGAAAATTAAAAATAAAATATTTTTTTAAGCGCTTCATGGAAATAAAGGTGGGACGTGGTTTTGGGGATAACTATAGGGACGACTTGTCGTCCCCATAGCTTTTTATGCCCAAAATTAGGAGAGCAACCCCTTCGTTTCATTCATGCATGCTCAATCATCAGTTTGTCTCTCTCGATCGATCGACAATTCTCCCCTGGCGACTTCCTCACCTCCCACTCCCGGCAAATCTTCTTCCACTCTCTCGATCCTCATGCTAGTTGTCGAAGACCACGACGATTAGCTTCAACACTGACGATTCTAACTACTGGCTTCATTTTCACCTCTGGTTCTTTATCGATCGACCAGAAACCAGATCTTAATTCGGAATCAACACATATCTAATCTACGTGGCTTCGGATAATTGATGGCAGGGGAGGCCTCTGCGCTGTTCCTCCTCGACATCAAAGGTCGTGTTCTGGTGTGGTGCGACTACCGTGGCGACGTGTCTACAGTTGATCAGGCCGAACGTTTCTTCACCAAACTGATTGAAAAAAGGTATTTTCATGTTTGCCTTTCTTTCAGATAGCTTTTTTATGTTGTTTGTCTTGGTTAGAAACCAAAACACGATAAGTAAAACAATATGTGCTCATAAAGTAGGTTGATTAAGCAAAGATGTTTGTATTTCGAGTTAGGTATTGGTAAATCGAGAGGGTTTGAATAAGATTCTCAAGGTCAAGTTGTCTATGATAATGGTGTCACTTATCTAATAATTTCTTCGAGACAGAGCTGTAATGCTGTTCATATATTCTAATTCCTTTTATTTCTGAGTAGATTAACATCTCTACAGAAACAATTAACTTTGCTTGTGAAGAATATAATTAATTAATTAATTAATTAATTATTGTTGTTTATGATAGGCTGCAAAAATTGTGCTAATGTTTTCTCAGACATGTTCATGATAGAGGAGGATTTTGGTAGAGCTAGAGGATGTAATCAACATCACACATCACACATGGTGATTAATATATTTGGTTTCTTGATTGTGAATTTAAAGGTTTTATGGAAAATAACAACAAACAATGGTAATCCTTATCACTCAATAAATAATAACTAGTTAATATACAGGTGGGGAATATTGGTGGCAGAGAATTTGCTGAATCACTAGCACCTGATGTTCAGAAGTTGCTTGTAAGTTCAAAAATACATATGGAATATAATTTAATTATTTTTCAATTATAATTTCAATTGCTACTTTATACTTACTTTATTTACCTCAGCTTTCAAGTGGTTGCAGACCACTAGTGAGAAAGAAAGTTGCACTATGTCTATTAAGACTCTTTAGGAAAAATTCTGATGTTGTGAATGTAGATGGCTGGTATGTTTGTTTCCACCTTTACATTTTAGTATTTCCCTTTTATTTTTTTTAATCTACACTTTTGACTTTTTATTGTTCGGTCAAACTTTCAGGTCAGATAGAATGGCACAGCTATTAGATGAATGTGATCTTGGTGTTTTGACATCATCAATGAGTCTTTTTGTTGCTTTAGTAGCCAACAACCATGAAACATACTCAAGTTGTCTTCCAAAATGTGTTCAAATTTTAGAAAGACTTTCTAGAAATCAAGATGTTCCTCAAGAATACACATACTATGGTATCCCTTCTCCATGGCTTCAAGTCAAAACAATGAGAGCCCTTCAGTATTTCCCAACTGTTGAAGATCCAACCACAAGAAGAGCACTCTTTGAGGTTATATATTTTATTAAAAAAAATAAAAAATCCTCTCTCTTTACATAAGAAACACTAATATAAAGCTTATTAATTGTGGGTAGGTTTTACAACGGATGCTCATGGGAACAGATGTGGTGAAAAATGTTAACAAGAACAATGCTTCTCATGCTGTGTTATTTGAAGCTCTTGCTCTTGTAAGTTTATACAAGTTTTTCTCATCAAATTAACAAACAGATTTGGAGTAACACAATTTATTAAAACTTGTCATTATCAAATCTAACAAACAAATTGGGACTAATACAGGTCATGCATATTGACTCTGAGAAAGAGATGATGTCACAATGTGTGGCACTTCTTGGAAAATTCATAGCTGTGCGTGAACCTAATATCCGGTATTTAGGTCTGGTAAGTTACAATCTTTTTTCCCTTTTTGCCCTTTTTGCCCTTGAAGACTTGCAGTATATAATGTTTTATCTTTATTGGTGAATCTGATGTTAATAAAAATGGCTTATGCAGGAGAATATGACTCGAATGTTGATGGTTACAGATGAAAAGATCAAATAGAAAAAGGACAAAATGATCATTTTTCTTTACAAGTGTAACAGTGAAGTTGTTATGATAATGCTGCAGCAGTTACAATATTTTCCAAATTTCAGGAAGCTGCTCTCTGAAGAATTTGATGCAAAGTTTGGTAAATCTGAATTAGTATAGTTTTAAAACATGTAATGCTTGAGAATTTTCATTCAATTTGTACCATTTTAAAACATGTAATAAAATCATTGAGCATGATTTGTTGCAATTAAATTTATTGTTGTAGCTATTTTGTAAATATACTGCTTTAGCTATTTTGGAACTGTGAAAACTAGGAAAATAAATAGAAAAAAGAACAGGGTGTAAACCTGTGGGCATACCTATAGAGACGACATGTCGTCTCTATAGGTAAATGTATAGGGACGCCAAATCGTCTCTATAGGTACATTACTACCATGATTTTTTGTTTCTATAGGTTGTGGTATGTCGTGTATAACTTTATCTATAGGGACGACATGTTGTCTTTATAGTTGCTTCTATAGAGACAAGTCCTCTCTATAGCTTCATCTATGGTAATTGGAAACATATAGCGACGAATCCTTTAGAGACGATATGTCGTCTCTATAGGGAAGCTATTGCGACGATATTTTTAGCGACGATAAAAAACATCTATTGCGACGGGGCTATAAGGACGAACACTATAGGGACGACTTGTCGTCGCGACCATCTATAGGGACGACTTTAGTACCTTTAGGGACGACAAATGTCGTCCCTATAGGTCTCATTTCTTGTACATAGGTATATTCACTTTTCCATATATATATATATATATATATATATATATATATATATATATATATATATATATATATATATATATATATATATATATATATATATATATCCCAATGTATGTGTATTTAATATGTTAGCCCATTATTGTACATGTACCCATGTTTATTTGTGTTTGTATTGCAATGAGAGTCGTAGGGAATTATTCCCATTTAAAATCTCTCTATTACTTCCCCCTCTTTCTTATCTCGATACTTCTCTTCTACATTGTCTTCCTCACTGCTTAACCCTAGTTTTACATATGTATCATCATGCCTAGCTCCACCAGTACTCCACCTCCACCACACAAAGCATACGCCATCACCAACATAAAGACGTATGTTCCCCCTATTCTCGATCTCCCGAGTCACAATTATGATCCTTGGAGCAATCTATTCATAGTACATTATCATGCCTACGATGTTTTGGATCACATTGATTCCATATATGATGAGCCAAATTCACCTCCCATGGATCCTGAGTAGGACAAACTCGATGGAATGCTCAAGTTGTGGCTTGTTGGGTCCATCTCCCAATCATTGATAACCTCCGCCCACTCCACAAAAGCTACTGCAAGAAAGGTTTGGCTCAATACCCATGATATTTTTTGTGACAACAAAGACGCTACCTCCTTTCAACTTGAAATCGAATTAAGGAATATCTCTACGGGTCATTTATCGGCTCATGATTATTGTCCTAAAGTGAAAAAGATTGTTGATTTAATTGAGGGGCTTGGAGAAAAAGTTAATGAGAAACATGTTGTAATGCACGCCACCGTAAACCTTTTCCCCCTTCGGTTGAATTGCATTCTCTTCTTGGGTTTGAAGAACAGAGGCTCCAATCAACGGGACTCCGACAATATAACAATTCACAAAAATATAGACTTTTTTTTTTTTTTTTTACAATAATCTATATTAATAATAAATAAAGAAAGTCTTATTATCTAAAAATTCTTAAAGATTTAGTTACAAATTAGATAATAATTTAAGATCTTTTTGATCTAAGATTTACGTCTAAAAATGAAGTCTATTTTATAAAAAATTACTTAGAACTAGAACCGGTCCCGCAAAAACAATTAAATTTAAAACACAATTCAAATCATTATATTTTCAAGGCTTTGAATAACGGGAAATTTTGACTTCATGAATTTAGTATAGAATGGTTACGTTTGATACCCATCCATGAACTTTTATACAAAATGGTAAGTGATCGAATTGAGTTGTTTATGAACAAAGATGACGGAAAACTAAATAACATTTTTATGAAACATTTAGACGTACCTAATTACGTATTATACTATAAATCTTATAAATTATTTTATAAAACTATGAGGTAGATTATATAAAGAATAACTAAAAGTACTTTGAGATGCAAAAATTATACATATTAGTATAAGCATAAAAATACCAATGCATATATTCTACATTTTTTTTGCCAAGTTTCAATATATATATATATATATATATATATATATATATATATATATATATATATAGAGAGAGAGAGAGAGAGAGAGAGAGAGAGTCAAGATCAAATAAGAAGGAAAATTTTGGTAGGAATGTAAAAAAATTATATATATATATATATATATATATATATATATATATATATATATATATATATATTTTTTTTTCTTAGCAAAAAAAAATGAAATGAATCATTAGATGATTCAAAAGTAAGATGATTCACAAGAAAAAATTCCGAAAAAAATACCTTCATGAATCATTTTTAGGTAAATCAAGAAAAACATTCACTTTTATGACAATTTTAGTGAATATCAACAAAATCATCATAAAAATAAATCATTGAAATGTTTTTTCGGGATTTTTTTTGTGAATCATGTTATTATTGATTCATTTATTTTGTTCGCCAAAAAAAATAAGTCGAAAAAAAATTTCTTACCTTCCTACCAAAAAAAATTTCTTACAGGATCTATATATATATATATATATATATATATATATATATATATATATATATATATATATATATATATATATCCCAATGAGAAGGTACTTCTAATTTCAACCCTATACTTTAATTATGTTGCATTTCAGTCCTTAAGTAGAAGAAAATGTTCATTGGAAGCCTTAGTGGCATTTTTATAATTTGAGGATAATGGGAGTACGCCATGCGTATGTGCATACACTTAGCGTACTATGGTGCGCCCTAGTATGCTGGGCGTACATCAGCGTACGTAGGGCGTACTTGCCAGATTTGAGAAACACTAATTTTAGGGTTTAGCTCATATATAAGCATCCTTATAACCTCATTTCCCCACCAAATTATCCTTCATACCTCTTGAGATGTTTTGTAACCCTAGTTCACTTTGAGAAGCCAATTCTAGCCTAAAAGTATGTATTTGTGTGTTTAGAAGAATAAAGAAGAAAGCCAAGCTCATCTAGGAAGATTAAAGCACTTTGGATCTGGGACTTCTTCTTTATTTGAAACCATTCTATGGTAAAAAGCTGTCAACTTAATCTTTGAATAATATAGATCTAGAAATATAGGTTTCAGTGATGCTTTTTGGTCCTAAATTGTTATATCTTGAGCATGGCATGTTCTTCACATTTTAAGTTATCCTTTTAGGCCCTTGGAAGGGTCCTAAGTCATAAAAATGAAGTCTCAATGGTTATTTTTGCTCTATGCATCTTTTAGAAGGTCTTAATGGAATAAGAACTTGTGTTAAGCACTTATTGGGCATGCTAGGTCATAAAGTTGGAGACTTTATGACTCCTAGGAGGATTTTAGCCATGGATCTGAAGTTTGGACATAAGAGCTTAAGCTATTAAGCTATTAATGGATTTTTGGTCTTTTAAGGGTACGCCCCATATACTAGGAGTACGCCCCACGTACGAGGTCAACCACTCCGATGGTGGTCAACCCGAGAGGCTTCATGTACACCCAGCGTACCTCAGGAGTACGCCCTGTGTACGTACCTTGAGTTGACTTGGTCGACTTGACTCGGTTGGGTTGACTTAGTTGACCTAGTTGGTTTGACCAGTTGACTTTGACCCAGTTTGACGTTGAGGGTATTTTGGGATTTTATGCAAATTGGTCATTGATGGGAATAGGTGCTAGTTAGAGTTGAGATTTGGAGTCTGGACCTCATCAACTTCTATTCAGTTTGTGAGGTGAGTTTTTCTCATTGTACTTGCGGGTCAAAGGCACCAAGGCCGACCCTTTGGATTTGATATCCTGTTATGTATGCTATTGTGTTGTAGTGATCAGTTGATATGTCTGTTGTCTATTGGCTTATTATATGTTATCTGTTACGTATATGTGCACATATTTGGTTGGTGGTTGAGGCTTTACTGCTTTGTGTCTGATCCAACAGACCGAGGGCATTCCAACCTATCACAACTGGAAATTTTGTGTGATGTAATCTATACATTCAAGCTAATGTGAATCAAAACTTCAATCAAATACATCATACAAGTACTACAAATAGTCATCAAACAATTGGAAATCCAAGAAGTCCTTGTTTAAGTCCATGTTGGATTAGGACTCCCATATTGGATCCACATGGACCAATAAGCTTCCAATTTGACTATCAAGGGCTTAGAACCCTAATTGGACTCTAATTGGACCCACACTAGTTTATTTCAACATTTTGGGCCATGTTGGGCCTAGAATGAAATGAATTAAAAGCTTTGCTCCATGAATAACCTAAACTAGTCCAACAAAAATGTAAAAATCCTACCACATTCTTTTAGGTATAAAACACACCCTAACTAACTCTAATGTTGGGCTTAGGGGCAAAGGCCCAAAATTTTCCTTTTCTTGCTAAATTCTCGGCCCAAATGCACAAGCCCAAGAAGATGGAAGAGTTGACTTATTGTGCCACATCATTATTATACAAAGGACTTCCATGCAAAATATCTCACATACCTCCATGCACATCACTTCATAATCACTTCTCCTCTCTCCTCCCTCTCCCTTTCGGCCGAAACACACACACACACATTCACAAATTCTCTCTAGATCACTCAAGAACTCTCCTTCCTCTCCACTCAAAAATCTCGAGTTTTAGGAGGCATTCAAGAGGAAATTTCCACAAAATTCTCCATCTAAGGTAAGAGTTGCTTGGATTTATGAACTAAATTCTTTGTTTTATCAAAATCCCTTCCTAATCTATGCAAAAATCGTGATTTTGCACCCTAGAACCATCTCAAACTCGAGATCTACCAAGGAAGGGGGTT